TGATGATGGTGGTGATGGCGATGGTGATGATGATGGTGGTGATGATGGTGATGATGGTGGTGCTGATGGTGGTGGTGGTGGTGATGATGATGGTGATGGCGATGGTGATGATGATGGTGATGATGATGGTGGTGATGGTGGTGATGATGATGGTGATGATGGTGGTGATGGCGATGGTGATGATGATGGTGATGATGGTGGTGCTGATGGTGGTGGTGGTGGTGATGATGGTGATGATGGTGATGATGATGGTGATGATGATGGTGGTGATGGTGATGATGGTGATGATGGTGGTGATGGTGATNTCCAGGCCAGTGGCTCCAACTTCTGTGGCTCTATTCCAAACCTGTCTTTTGAGCTCTAAACCTGCGTATTCAATGGTGTATCCCACAGCTCCCTTGAGTGTCTACAAAGCACCTGCAGTTCAGCACATCTAAAGCTGATCTTCCCTGCCAGCTCCTCCCTGAGCCCACTTCTCCTGCATTCCCTACCTTAGTACGTGGAACCACGATCCATTCACTTGCTAGTTCTGTAACACTGGCAGTTATTCTTGACCCTTTCCTCTTCTCCAGCCCTAATCATGAACGAACTGGATATTCCATGTTCTCATGTTCATGGAGTCTCATGTTCTTTCCACACTCACTGCTTCCAAGCACCCATATCTCCTGCTTAAACTATTTCCACAGCCTCTCTACCAGTTTTTATTCCCCTGTTCCAGTTGCTCTAATTTGTTCTTTAGCCACCAGCTAGAGTGAGCATTTTAAAAAGCTCCTGACTGTTCTTAGGATAAAGACCAACATCCCTGTCACTCTCTGTTTAGGACCATATGGTGCTCTGTCTCCTGTTTATTTCAATGGCTCCAGCTCACAGCTCTCTCCCTGACATGCTGGGCTCCATCTCCATTGGTCTTCTCTGAGTTGCTTGAAATTGGTCGTCTTTTCACCCGTGAGACTGCAAACAACCTATTCCCTCTGCCTTGACTGCATTTCTTTCTCCTCTGTGTTTGACTGAATCCCACTCCTGCAGGTCTTGTTTACTGCTTTTCAGTAGGAAAGCCTGATCCACAGTCCAGGTACACCCACCGTGTCCTTTGTCTTCATTGCACACTCAATTTTTTCTTTGTAGCATTTATCACAGCTCTAATGAAGTAATATCCTGCTACGAAGCAAGTGGCAGAGCTGGGACCTACCCCTAGGTCTGTCTGAGTTCAGACTCTGTGTTCTGGTCTGTGTACCCCCTCCCCTGCCCCGCCATGCTGCTCTGGGGCCTGCTGTCAGCCGTACAGTTCACTTTCCCACAGCCTCTACTCTCAGCGCTTGTGGCCAGTGAGTGCCACCTTTGATGGAACCCACTTCAAGGAACTATTTTTTTT